CACTCGACGGAGGTTATATTGAGGCAAATGTAAAAAAAATAGTGACAAGAATATACTTTGTTACACTCGACGGAGGTTATATTGATAAGTGGTGATTGATAGTGTAACGGACCAAAATGAAACAATTCCAAACATATTCAGCTTAAATATAAACCAATCAATTGCTTGTTTGAGCAAATGGGAAGAGTGTTCGCTCCTGAGAGCTGTTAGTAATGAAGTGCTCTGAATTCTGGTACCATAACTTAAACATTTCCCCTCCTCCTCCTCCATATTTCCACTTTATGGCTAGCAGCCAAGCCATTGCATCTACCTCTCTCCTGCTGGAACTCCTTCTCAGTTTCTGCCATGTTCTTCCTTTCCCTCTGTGACTTTTTCGTAACCAGTTGTTCCCATTTTGATTTACCTCTTCCTTTTGAGTATTTCCCTCTTAGCTTCAAATTTAAAATCTTTTTTTGGGTTTCTGACTTCATTTATTCATAAAACATTCCCATAAAATTTTATTCTGTTATTTATTAACTTATTTTCTAGTGTTTTTTTCTTGACATTCTCTGCAGTATTTTCATTTTTTATTCTCCATGGTTTTTGCTTTTGTATTTCTTAAAAATCTCATCTCACCTACCATTGCCTATTGTTGCCTGTGTTTGTGCTCCTTTATTTACTGTGGGCATGTAGCAAACTTTACGTAGACATTGAATGTTCATTTATCTTTAATTATTTTCTTCAGAATTAGGTTAAAAGACTGTTCCAGCTTCACAGTAGCTTGTTCCTGGCCTTCACATACCACCCCTTCCTTGCAGATAATATGACATAATTCTTTGTTATTCCTTCATCATTTATTCTTCCTGAAAATTTGACCCGTGCCTATCTATAATTCAGTGTAAACTAAAGTTATCCTGTAATGGGCCATGGAGGCCCATAGGGTTGTGAGATGTTGAGGTTCCCACATTTTCTAGTCAGTCAGCTCATAGATGGTGGTGAGGTTGTCAGCCCCATATGCCAGCCCCCCTTTACCCCCAAGAATACTCGTGGTATTCATTTCTGTTAGAGGCTGAGTTGAACCCAGGGCCATAGTATGGGTGGAAGGATTAGGTCACTTGAAAAAATCCAACCTCATCAGGATTCGATCCCATGACCTTCCAGCTTGTAGCATAGAGACTCAATCATCTACGCTACCGCTCAGTGTTCTAACGAAATTATCTTTCTGTCCCATTTTCATTTTGGTCAACTGTGAAAGCGTAGTCTTGATGTTGACATCATCATTAAATAAGCAAATTACCAACCCAAATGGACAACCTTACAGTTATACTAAGGGCGTTCCATATATAATGCCTCCCATTTTTTTTTTAAAGAAAACTACAACAGATACAGAAATCATAGTAACACAGTTAAATAGCACAAGATTTCAGCTACTTACAGCTATTTTTCCACATAATCACCACCATTCGTTATGCACTTTTGCCATCGATGAACAAGAGCCTGTATGCCGCGCCCGTAAAAGTCTGCGCCAGCAGAGGCTAGCCACTTTCTTACAGCTGCAATGACAGCATCGTTGTCTGGAAAATGTTGCCCACGTAGTCAGTCTTTCATAGGCCCAAAGAGATGGTAGTCTGAAGGTGCTAAATCGGGGCTATAAGGTGGATGTGGTAGGACAGTCCAGCCAAACTTTGCAGTGTGCGCGGTGGTCGCCAAACTGGTATGGGGTCTAGCATTATCATGTTGCAAGCGAAAGGTCTGCTTCTCTGGCCTGACTCGGGAAATACGGGCATTCAGCTTAGTCAGCGTTGTCTTGTAGCGTTCAGAATTGACAGTCCATGGTTGTTATCTGCTGATCTGTTCAGATGAGGCGTTGTTCATTGTGAGGAGTGGCAGCTGAGCAGGGACGCCCATGGTGTGGCTTGTCACGCACTTCACTTTCGCCACTGTTGAAACGCACTACCCACCGAATCACTGTGCTGACGTCCACTGTATTGTCTCCGTACACCTTTAGCAAGTGTCGATGGATGTCAGTGGGTACAATTTGTTCGGCAGTGAGAAATTCAATAACACATTTCTCTTTCATATGCACTTCTATGTCAGATGCCATTTTGGTAGACTGCTCTGCTGTCGCTATCTGTCACACAACAACAAAATTAACAGTACATTGGCGGGAAGGTTCAACCTTTACTACAACACCACCAACATCCAGCTCAGATGTTACATATTTACACAGAAAAATAGGAGGCATTATATACGGAACGCACCACGTATGTTGGTGCTGATTTTAAGTACATTCCACAGGTAAATAATCTTGAGAGTTGGAATCCCCCAGAATTAAAACTTTTAGGTTGTGGGTTGATGGGAGCTGGTCAGTTACTGTGGAGAAGTAATAAGTTAGGAAATATATACATAATGTAACAATTCTGGCATGTTTGCTCACTTTTATTTCATTATCTTGAAAGTTATAAGACTTGAAGAAAAAGTGTACCTGACACAAAATGTGTATTTCAGTTTTGTTTACAGCTTCTGTTTGAAACATTTTTGCTCCAATAAATATTTAGTGAGTTATGCTCAAGATTCGTGTAGGCCATTAGGTGAAGTGTTATTTTTGTGCAATAGTAACCAAAATCAGAACATGTGGGCTTATTTATTAAAACTCTCCAATTTTGAATTTTATGGAAATCTGTATAGTGGTTCTGGAGGTGTTGAACAGTTGAACAGACAGATGTGACGAAGCTACTAAGCATATTTTTGTAACTGTCATTGTGAACATGCAGAAAACACATGAATCACAATTAATGTTGTATTTCACATTTTTGATGCAGTGAAATGTGTTGTTCTAGTGTCCTCAACAAGTTGAAGGTTTTGGTGACAAAGAAGTGATCAAGTTGGCTGCACATCCGGATGGGAAGCATTTTCTTGCTTTAACTTCTGATGGAGACCTGTACTCGTGGGGCAGTGGCGTTGGTGGAAGGCTAGGCCATGGGAATAACAACTCCAAAGATGAACCTACACTGATCGAGGCACTTGTTGGAAAACATATTGTTCACATTGCATGTGGCAGCACATACAGGTGAGATAATGGGCTCTGGACTCCTAAAGCGATGTTCTGTGTTTAGCCCTAGAACATTACTCCTTTATCCAGTCATCTGCTGCCGAAGTACTGGAAGAAAACCTACCCCAATGCCATTTTGTCCACCACAAATCCTGCATGACCTGATCTGGGATATTTCCTTCAGTCCTTTGCTTTCATTGTGCTTCTATTGTGTACTGCTTCAACATTAAATGCCATTATTGGATTAAAAAATGATTAATTGAAAAGATAGATATTTTCCTGCTAAATGTGAATCATGTGAAAGTACCCCATTTAGTGTTTCTTCATGGCCCAGCGGATCTGAATACTAACTCAGGACTTTCTCAAATGAAGGAAATTTAACACTGAGATTATTGAATTTGAATCAGTAAAATGGAAAGATAAAGAGAGAAAACCTGAAATTATGAAGCAGTAAATGTGGATTCCACTGTACCCTTATTTTCACCTGAAATATTGATAAGAAAGTGGTGGAAGTGAAATGGTTAAGGATTTAATGAGCTACAGAGCCAGTGTGTATACAAATAAGGTACAGACTGCTTTCTTCATAGTCACCGCCGTGAAAGCCTCAAATCTTACAAGGTACAGACTGCTAATATAGAGTTGCTGTATGGTGTTAAAGCTCTGCTGCTTGTCTTTAGTGCTGCAGTTTCATCTTCTGGAGAACTGTACACATGGGGAAGGGGTAACTATGGAAGGCTTGGACATGGCTGCAGTGAGGACCACAACGTGCCGACGCTAGTAGCAGACTTGAAAGGTATATTCAGTGGCTGTTCTAGTAATGTAATATTTGAGGTGTTTGTGGCATTGAAGATTCATATTGTGCTCTCCTGGATGATGACAGCATGTAGTCTGGTAGGTGAGTCATAACCCAGAAGGTTGCAATATGGTACAAGTTTTAACCTTTGATGGCTATGCTACACGTTTTCATGCATTTAAATGTAAGGTTCAGTGGTCTTGCTGCATGAAATTGTGGTCTTAAATGTCTCCAGTAGATGTGTATGCATAGTCCTAAATAACAGTTATTTAAATGCAGTAAAATTAAATGTACATGCCGTTTCTTCTTGTTTTCTAGTTCATGTATGTGTGATCAACCTTGCGCCATCCAGCTATTTCTTACCTTGGTGGAATACCCCTCAAAGAAATCCAAAAAGCAAAGGCAGAAGTCACAATTTCACAACCACTTTGATGTCCACTATCTAAGTAATCATTTTCCCACCGTGGCAGCCTGGGTTCGATCCCAGGTCTGGTCAAGTGGGACTTGTGGTGGTCAAAGTGGTGCTGGGGCAGGTTTTCTCTGAGTGCTTTGGTTTCCCCTGCCAATCTTCATTCCACCAAAATTCTCCATCATCATAATCACCTGGGGCAGGCTACAATAGGCCAATCAGTGGCCGCCGTGCCGAGTGGACCCAGTTGGAATCCACCCCCCACTAAGCAAATTGAAAGAATTGAATTAAGTAATCATTTTCCAAACAACTTATTTAAGGCATCATATTGTGACATGTTCACCCCTACCTCCCCAGCGGTACGTGGCGGTAACGTAACGCTCGCGTTCTTACGGTAATAGGCGAGTTCCCGCCCCGCCACTCCCCTCCGCGGTGACGTCACCGAGGGATATCTCGGTCGCTAGGCAACGCAAGTCAACAGCGGCGACGTTACGATAGTAACAGCGGTTACTTCCGCTAGCGTTACATGGCAACACAGCGCCAGGCAACAAGGGTGCCTATTACGTGGCCGTATTGTCCGATCGAGGTTACATAAGGAGCAGCGAAGGCTATTCACAGTGAGTTGTACTGAGTCAGCCAGTGAGTCCTGGAGCTACCGCCGAGTTAGCCAGCAACTAGTCAGTTGTATTGTGGCATTTGGAGTATACTAATTGTGATACTGCAGATAGCAGTAATCGTAAATCTGTAATTTGGGTGATTGTAAGTGCGAATGTGAAATAAAATTCGCTGCATCGAATACATCGAGAATTTATTTGTCGCGATATACGCCCGATACGCGACAATATGAAGGAAAGTAGCTATTCAAAATTCCCATCCCCTATGATCCCAGTATACAGGAAATAACATACACTTGGTACCAGAGTTACAGTGCCACCATTTCGTTGATAGTGACTGAGAAATATAATTGATATGCTAGGATTTCCTGTATAATAACTAAATACTTCCTCTTAGAGCTTAGCTATTGTCTCTAGAATAGAATATCAGAAAGCTATGAAACGTATGTTACCAAGGCTTGCCTAGGATGGCATTTGAACTGTTCCTGTGTTCATTTTATAGCATGTAGCTGGAAGTCACATGACAGGAAGGACTGATTCTGTAATGCAGAACCACTCTGTGAAGAAGTGGGCATGTATTATTACAGTATTCATGACAAAATGACAAAACAAAAAAAAAAAAACAAGTATAACTTTATTCTAATCATTTCCAAACCCAATGCTGCAAAAACAAAACAAAGAAAAAATTCTTTGATCCGCAAGCGAACTATACCGACCAAGTGACCTCCACTTGTCAACGAAGCTAGTGCCAACTTTAGTGGATAGAGGGTGTTGCATGGTCAGCACAACGAATCCCCACAGCCATTAATTTCGGTTTCTAGTCCAAACCCAATGTTGCACTATCTGAAAATACATTCCAATGCTGCAACATCTGAAACTACATTCTTTTTTCATAAGAACGAAGTTCATTTAGAAAGTTTTGTTGGTTACAGCATTTTTAGTAACATGCTTAAAATTATTAAAATGTACCCAAGCAGCAGGCATTTAAACCCCAACCAGCTCTGCCCTTAAGATCATTTAAATACCTTGGCTCTTAAAGTTTAAGGTTTTCATGTCAGTGAGAGTTCAGACTGCAATCTTCTGGATTTTAATACCAGTGTTCTGGCTGCTTCCTCGTTCAGAATCAAAGTGAGTGTGGCAGCAAATATTTTGGGTTGTTTGACAGGTTGCAAGGAGGGTGGTCACTCACCCACTGGGGGGTTACAGGGTTATTCACTGGCAGAAGATCCTGAATTAGTAATTGTAAATCATGCAATAATTTATCAATTAAAACAAAATTCACATGCTCATATGAAGGTAGACATGGAGGTAATTGGATTATAGAAGATGTTGAAAATGGTTTTCCTGTGCCTGGAGACACAGGCCAACACACTCCAAGTCCACAAATGGTAGGAGGGATCATGTGAAGTAATGGACTGAAGGTGTTGGTGGAAACTAGGCAGACAAGCACTAGGTCGGTGTTGCAAAATATGCAGTGCTGCCAGGTTTAGTTTTCATTGGTGAATTGCTGTGTGATTTATAATTACTAATTTAGGCCTCCTCCATGTAGAATAACTCTGTAGAACCTGATGCAGTGAATTTGAATGGTAACAAGAAGATGGCCCTTTTAAGGAACACATCCAGGACTACACATTGGAACATTTTGGAAACTTCTTCAAACATTATATTATCATCAGAGGACACAAATATCAAATAAACTTTTAGGGTCTTTTCATGAATAATTCACTGTAATATAATGTCACGTGTTGGGTATGTCACGCGACAAATAACTTCATGCTGTTTTGGATCTAGCAAATTTATTGAACACTCGCTCTCACATTCACAGAATTCACAATTACAATTACTGCATCGGCAGTATCACAATTACATCCACTGCTCTCGGCGACTTCTAGACTTCTGCTGCACTCGGCGACTTCATGATCCGCACTGTGTTACTCCTGATCACACACTCTCCTCACATACTGCTCAGCCAGCTTTTTATACCGTTCCCTGTTGCCTCGTGTTACCAGCGGTGTCCCCTTGTCATGTCACAGCGGGGAGGGGGATGGAGTGTTGACTGGCCTGTTACCATAGCAGCGGCAGTTGCCCCGATGTTGTTACATCACCGCGGAAATGGTTGCCTGACACAGTTGCTCTTCTGTTACGTCACCACAGGGGAGGGGATGTTTACTGAGTGTTGCGTAATGATGGAAGGAGTGAGGTTTATGTGATGTCACTCGCGAGACCGCAGAGTTCACGTGACCCCTACTTCCTGTTGCACCGTTCACGTCACGATAATCTTGCATACAAAAATGTTTTCCATAATCTGTTTGTTTTATTTGACCATGTTTAAGTGTAACAAGAATCATGAACTTATATTTAGATATCCTTTGTTATGGTTCATGATTGCAGGCCATAGGGTGGTGGATGTTGCTTGTGGCAGTGGAGATGCCCAGACGCTAGTTGTGACAGATGCAGGGTTGGTATTTTCTTGGGGAGATGGAGATTATGGAAAATTAGGTGAGTGGTCCAACTTGGTTTTCTAAGATAATAAACTTTTGTAACTACTATTGCAGTACATTGTAACAGTTTACACAGATCATCATGTATGCTGAAGATGGCCCAGTATGGCTGTAACATGTTGCAAATTTGTGTGAAGACACAGACTAAGTGGTGAGTTGAGCAATATGCAAAGTTGTATTTGAAGACTGTATTGCATATTGCCTATTGATCCACATAAAACAGAAGTGATGGAAGAGTAAGAAGAGACATCATGGATCTGAAGCACCAACTCCAGCAGTGAGACAGGCTGTGCATGTTTTATATTAATATTACTGGAGTACAGGGTAATTCGTACGTCCCTCCAGAACGTTTGAACTCGGCAATGCAACCACCAAGATAGACACAGCAGAAAGGAGCATATCAATAGGTAAAGAATCTTTCCAAGTTCCTTTGTGTAATAGGCACCAGGGTGTACTAGCAGGATTCACCACTAGGGGACAGTTATAATGAAACATGGACAGGACAGAGGGTAAGAAAGCTTTCTGTATCTTGAAATTTGCCAAAACTTAGTCACTTATGATGGTGCAATGGAGGTTTCAGACCAAGTACCACACAGAACCACCTACGAACAAAACAATTTGTGAATGGTATAATAAATTCCAGCAGAGTGGCTACCTGTACGCTGTGAAATGAACAGGCTGGCTGGACTATCAGCCAAGACTGTCAAATGTGTGCAAGAAACTTTTGTCAGGAGTCCTCAGAAGTCAACACACTGCACAAGCCAGGAATTGCAGATGCCTCAGTCTGTGTCTGGCACATCCTGTGCAAATGTCTCCATGCTGAAGGATACTGGCTGCACTCACTCAGCAGTCTTGGTCAATGGCCCTGGCCTGCCTGTTTGTTTTGCAACGCACAGGCAGCCACTCTGTTGGAATTTCTTATACCACTCATGAGTTGTTTTGTCTGTAGGTGGTCCTGTATGGTACTTGCTGAAACCTTCTTTGCACCATCACAATTGACTCAGTTTTGGCAAATTCCAAGACACACAACGCTGTGTTATCCCCTGTCCTTGCCATGTTTCATCACTACTGCCTGCTAGTGGTGAAACCTGCAAGTATGCCATGGCACCTATTTCACAAACAAACTTGGAAAGATTCTCTACCTAATGATATGATCCTTTCTGTTGTGTCTGTCTTGGTTGTTGCACTGCCAAGTTTGGAAATCCTGGAGGGACTTATGGATTATCCTGTATAAAATGTAATTGTAAGGTACTAAACTTATCATGCTGTTTTAATATATATCACTTATTTATGGATTACACTTGTTTGAGGTTATGGTTTTAATTTGACATTTTTCTATACATTTGTCACCCTTGCTTTTGTGTGCAGGTAGAGGAGGGAATGATGGTTCAAAGACACCAAAGCTGATTGACAAACTACAGGATGTTGATGTGGTAAAGGTATATTGTGGGGCACAGTTCAGCCTGGCACTTACAAAGACTGGATCTGTTTATTCGTGGGGTAAAGGTGACACACACAGATTGGGGCATGCCTCTGAGGAACATGTGAGGTTCCCAAAACTCATTGAGGCCTTGCAAGGTAAGGTTCTAGCAGCACTAGCATTCAGAGCTTCATATGGCTTTCCTCCAGTGTAAATTCTCAGTGGACTTGTGTTTAACAGAAACCAAAATGATGGACTGGTAGATGTTAGATCTGAGGTTCTCACTTTGGGGACTATGAAATGTGTGGTCTTTCAAGTTATAACCTCTCTGAACTACTTTGTGTTGCAGCCCTTCAGGAATTGATACACTTTAAGAATTACACAGTGTTCTCCCAAGTTATGAAAGGGATATATTCTTGAAAATGTGTCCATATTGTGAAATTCCTTTACAAGAGCCATAGTCTTCCACTGACCCCCACTTTGTAAGTGGAAATGTGTTCCTAAGGACATTTTTTCATCCCACAGTTGTATTAAAAATTCAATTTCTTACTCTTCAAAAATAATAGTCACACACAAATAAACTTAAAAAATTACTTGCACTTAAAGTTGATAGCATCATATCCTCCTTCCAGGCATCTTAAAAGAAAGTAACACACTGCACAATCTAAAATAATATGGGAGTGGCAAGTATACCACCAGCCTATCCCCCTCCAAGCCTCCATTTCACTGATGCATGCTCATAGGTGAACCAGTCGCTAGCTACAGGTCCTGCTGTACAATTCAGGCATGTGCATATGTGATCCAAATTTCTTAAAAATAATGTAACGTGTTTCGTTACTGAATACGCCATAGAGATTGTTAATTGGTTTATTTAACAACCTGCAAATCACGGCTACAATTAATTATAACACAGTTGCGGGTTTCCACACTTTACAAACCCTACAACCAAAGTCTTCACGTACTAATAACGCGGGAGCTATACAAATCTCCCTGAATCACACACTCCAAATGTAACTGTACTACAGCACTCACTAAGTCTCGAAAGCACACAATAAGTCTTCCGCTCGCTGACTTCTTAGTTATCGCACACTGTCACATAAAATCTTGTAACCACGCGTTCGGGTCTTCTTATCGCGACTGCTGCTATATGTCAACTCGACTCGCAGGCTTGCTCAGAACTAACTCGTAGGTAGCTGCCTTGAGAACTGAGAACTGACTGTAGTCTTCACTGCTCCGTATCTAGCCTCGTGCGGACAACGGAGAAAACAGCCACGTAATAGGCACCCTTGTTGCCTGGCGCCGTGTTGCTAGCAACGCTGTCCGGTGTTGTTTACTGCTGCCTAGCAACCGCGGTATCCCGTGGTGACGTCACCGCTGTTGACTCGCGTTGCATAGATACCAGGATGCTGGGACTCGGCTAACTTCGGCTCCACTCAGCGCGTCACGGCTGGCTGGGGGGGGGCATCCTCCATAGCTCAGCACGTCACAATAATTTTGGTTGAATATGTTATCGTTATTCATTCTGCATTTTGAAGAAATTTGGATACTTATACCAAATGTCCATAAGGGGGAATTTATGATCCACATAGTGAGTTTTGCCATCATTTTCCATAACATCAGCAAAGATGAAGTTCTGTGACCTAATCATCCATGCTATGAGGGGCACATTGTGTTAGGGAGTCACAATTTGTAATAACACATTTGCTCAGGTTTGAAGAAATTTGTGTTAACTAGCAGTTATTATTGTGGTTTGTGTGACCTTTGTTTAGGTATGTGGGAATTTTGAATTTTTGAGATCAAATCAGGTATAGAAATATCCCAATTTTAACGTCTAGTTTTCAGTCTCAGTCTTTGAAACTTCAGAGAACTGCTTGTGTTTATGCAGTAGTGCACAAACTGCCTGATCCATCAGAATCATATTGACCTGTAAAGGTGGCATGAATCAGCTGACGAATGAAGTCTATCCTTGTCTCTTCCTCTCCATGGTGAAAAGGACATTGCACTAGAATTGAGTATGTTTTTAAATTCAGTGATTTATGATAATTTTTCATTGAAAAGGGATCTGCCATATCAGAAGGGATAAGTAGTACATTTCAGTGCATAAGGAAAAGTGGATTGTATTAAAAATTGTGTTCACAGTGAAAAAATTTGTCTGACAGATGAAATTCTTGTTTTTGTCATGAGTCTAGATCTCATCTCCAACTGAGAAAGCCATTCCCACACTTGCCTACATTTGCAATATGTTACTGATCAACACAAGCAGTTTCGTTGTTTTTAATGATATGCATTATACTTCATGATAGATGATAAAATCCAGAAGAAATAATTTTCATTATTTTCAGTAATCTGAGTAGGTACAAGATCGTGTACGAGTACATACTAGTACATTAGTCTAGAGACAGTCCCTTGCTTAGAAGAGAAATTCATTTTATAGTCACTAATTCCACAGTATGGATGACTTTTCAGGGAAACATGTTGTGTCACTAGCAGTGGGCTCCGTTCATGTGCTTGCATTGACTGAGGAAGGGGAGGTGTATGGTTGGGGGAGGAATGACTATGCTCAGGTTGGAGAGACCACAGGCAGCAGTGTCCTTGAGCCCACAGTTATTACATCTCTTCAGGGCAAAGTCATCGTTGGAACTGCCTGCGGACCAACCCAGGTACTACCAAATGTTGGAATGTAATGATTAGAATTCCTGCTTCATATTTGAGAGATTCCTGGCTGGAATCTCTGACAAGAGATCAGCTGTCATGTCTGATGCTATTGCAGTGTTTCTCAGTTCTTATTGCACTGTTTGTAGTTTATTTAATGACACTTTCAGTAGCGCATACAGCATCAACTGATGAGGCGATTAGTGAATACTAGATTTGTGAAGACATTGAAGGAAGTGGGTGCAGCCTAATTTGAGGCACATGTGGGGAGAGACAATTGGAGACCATGATAAGCCTTCTTCAGGGTGGTTGTTCTCCAGTGCCATGGCTGCTTCTAACTATATCCTATATTTCTTTTTTCTGTTTGACAGTATATAACAGTTGTGGCCAAACTGTGGTCCATGAACCATGTGATACAATATAGAAACAAAATCTGCTGCATAGAAAGCATATACCTAAATTCCTATACCATCCATCCCATGTCTGTTTGCAGCTTCTGAAATTATGAAAATTATTGTATGTGGCTCTGACGTTCAGTAAGTGTGACCACCCAAACTATATAAATATTGCAGTTGTACAGGATGTTCAGTCATCGAGGAAACCAAGGGAGCAGCATGAGTCAGCTACAATATCGCTCACAGATTGCTGTTGTAACTGCCAATAGTGGAATGAGTCATCAGCGCTGATAAATGTGCACACTCTTGCTAGCATAGAGCTGCTGGATCGTTTCTCCGCGACTGTTCCCTCACATCAGTTTCTGTACATGCACACATAAGAATAATGTAAAAAGATAACACATATTTACCTTGCTTTATAACAGGTGCTGAAAGTGACCCCCTTCTGCTCACAAACTTGCCTCGCATCACACAAATAAATTATGCGACACTTTCTGAAGCTGGTCCACAGTAATTGAATTAATTACGCATGTTATTTTATTCTGTTATTTTATATGGGCAAAATTTGATTAATCCTGTGGCTGTGAAAGCAAATCCTATTGAAACACCGGTTTCCTGTGCTAAATGTCTTAACAATTTTCTAGGACTGATCTGTAGTCATGCCTCAATATCCCAAACCTTTTCTTCAGTCAGCACAATCCTCTTCGATTACTTCTTTATGTCACACACTGAACCTGTCGCCTGCCACTTTTTCACAAGCTTGGATACACACGACTTTGTGGGAACTGACAAATCCAGATATTTACGATGAAACATACTGATACATTTTCTGTAAGTTTTTTTTTCCTTGGAAAATTTTTGACAGTAAACATGTGCTGCTAATAGTAAACTTCATTTCAGCATAAATGTCGACTGCCTATCGAAATCTTTAACACAGACTGATTATTACTGCGACTTAACTGCAGTGACAAGATCACGCCACCCGACCGTGCACATTTATCAGCACCAATGACTCATTATGCTCTCAGCAGTTACAGCAGCAATCTGCGAGGTATGTTGGGCTGGGTCAGCGGTGTTGTGAAGTTTCCTCCTTGACTGAATACAGTGTATTATTAATGAACTCTAGAAGATATGGGCCAAGCATAATTTGTTTTGTTACTGAAAGGTGACTCCCTGCAGAGTGTATTCATACAGTAGTTTTAATGTCCAAGACTGATATTCCTATAAATGGAAAGGTAACTAGACTTAGTCACATTAGCGTGAGTCTGCAGACTCCCAGAGCCATTAGATAGTAAAATATGGTCATGAGTCCTGTGGGTCTCAGCAATTTAGCAGCCAGCCACTTTTTCACTCCAAGTCATGCCATGGAACATGTGATAATTGTGCTTGCTCTCATCATTAGTCAGCTCAGTATCTCTGGTTGAATTGAAATTATAGTGAAGTTGTTTGAGCTCATGAGTGTGCCTGTTCTGTTTGCAGGTTGTACTGATTTTGCTGGTAGATGGATTTACCAACAAGAGTCTGTGATAAATATGGATTAATGTCATAATGGAACTACTACTTTAAGTAACATATTTCTGCTGTATGTTGTTAATAACACAAACAGGAGGCAGAAGTGTCAAAATAATTATAATGTCATATTAGATTTTTGTTTATTGTAGCTGAGACTCCAGTAGCACTCCAAAGTGTATCTCTTGGTTTCAGAGTTTTGCTTGGAGCAGTAATAGTAAGTGGAGTGTCAATTTACGTGTCGCGTTTGTGGTGGATGTCTGTGAAGAAACATTCCAAATGCTTGACCAGCTTCTGGGCCTTGTCTGTGAAGGTGTAACTGGGAACCTGGACTGGCCACCACCTCAGGATAAAGAATGTATGGCTGTGGCATGCTTGAATCTCCTCAAACTGCAAGTAAGTTCAGAACAACAGTTTACAGAAGAGCAGAGCTTGACCAAGTCCACCACAGTGTTTTGACATGCATATATACATGAAGGTGTCATCAGTGTTTAATTGAAGACTAGCATGAAGTTGAAATTTCAGCTGGAAATTTTTAAAAACAAACCTCATCAAAATACCTAATCTCAGTACAGTAAAACTCCCCATTATCTTGTATGTATGGGTTGTGGTAAGTTTTAAGTATAATAAATAGTAAAAAATGTATGCAACTTTGTTAGGTAAGATCTAAAAGTTTGTGACGATGGTATGTGAGTACAAATATTATGTTTCTGCACATTATCCATCATCCTGCTTTTATCTGAAAGCACCATCCTGCCTATATTTCAAAACACAACGTTTCAGAGACTGGATTCGGCCTCTGTCTTCTTGCTTTATCGATTGGGCCCAACTGAGTAGGTTTTGCTTGAAGATGGAGACAGAATCTAGTCCCCAAAACATATTTTGAAATATATACAGGACGGTGTTTTTAGATAAAGACAGGATGATGGATAATGTCCAGAAAGATAATATTTGATCTTGGTTATGGTTTTTTATTCTACAAAAATAACATGAACATAGAAAATTACCAGCCTCACTTCATAGTTAAAGTTGAGTCATTTGTCACTTGTTTCAGCTGCATGCAATGATAAGTCATAGTGTTGATGTGGGTTGCATCGGTTTGGGACCCAACACAAATTTGTTGACCAGCCTGAAACAGCATGTGGTGGAGTTAGCCAGCAATGTTGGTGTTCTCAACACAATCCAATCAGCAGCACAAGCCACGTTGCAGGCTGGATGGAGTATACTGCTGCCTACAGCTGACGAACGTGCTAAAACTCTTTCAGCACTTCTACCCAGCACAGGTAATACGAGTATACAGAGTTTGCATGAAAGCATGTCACCAGAAATGCATACAAGGATCATGTTCGTAGAGTGACACATGGTGCCCATGTTGAAGTTTTATGAATATGATATGAAAATTTACGTGTTTATATGTTCTTTGATAATTTATCTTCACTAATCTTTCTTTAATCAAAGTACAATATCATACCATCCTTTTACAGAAACCCTGAACTGTTTCTCACAGAAGCATGGTGACTTTACCTCTGAATAGACAAAGTTAATCTGTGTCAGGTGTTTGTGTTCTGGGCTTCGAAGGGTTAGATTAGATTGAGTTAATGGGAGGACCTCTACTGTCCCTTGCAGCATGACTGAATTTCATTTGTTATGTATCCCCTTTCTAATTTAACCCTCTAGCATTCCCCTGTTTCAGATGAATCACTACTTTTCTTGATGGGATATCTCCAGATTGTCTATTGGTTTTATGAAATGTAAAATTAGTTAGAACCTCACAGTCACATAGAATGTGACTGTGCTTCATATTTATTATGATACTGTTTGCTAGTTCCAGTTTGAAGAGCTGTAATTTTAAGTGACAATGTCCTGTAAGTATTCCCATCACTTTTCAGCTGGTTCCTATTTGGTCCTGATGGTTCCCAAGTCTTCAGTATGGAGGGTCCTTAAGGAAACATTTCATTTATCTATGTGCAGGTTTGATCTCCCAGAATTTATTATGGTCTGTATGCATCTGGTCTCTGGTGGCATGCTTGGCATCTTTTTTATATGCCATATGCCAGTTCGTGTCCTGCAAATAGATGACCAGGTCTGATTCTTGTCATCTGGGTGGCAGTGTCATTCTCCACGATTTTCTTGTGTCCTATCACCCATATCATTTAAACATTAATATGTTTACTCGGCTTTATTAGAGACAAGCTTCGAAAGGATAACATTCCTTCTACATTTGTTGCAAAAAGACTCTGCATTTAATTCAGCATCATTAAATAACTTATAAACCAACCCAACTGCAATGAGTATCCCCATATGAATTGCAGAATATATATGACATTTGTATGTTTCTTCATAGGTTCAGATCCTTCAGCAATAAGTGCAGGTCATCGCTTCATGACTGATCTCCTTGTATCTAGTCTAATGGCAGATGGGGGCTTGGAAACTGCCTTGAAAGCTGCATTTAAAGGTCAGGTGGTTACAGTTTTACATTGCAATGCATATTGACTTATTTCATTTTTATTAATGAGATTGTGGCTGAAGTTGTTTATTTGATATAATGCCGTCTCCATTATACAGTGGAATTGGGGGAGCATTCTGAAAACGATGAAAGGAAAGCCCACATGTCAGATCAAGCCTTGCTGGAGACAGAATCAAAACGAGCCAAAGATGCATCTCTTCGTGAGAAGCACAACTCCACTGTTCCTCTTCTTCATCTAGTCAAATTACTTCTCAGGTTAGTTTAAGTGTCAGTCCATTTTAATGCTTTAACTGCTGATAATGTAGTATTAAAAATATAATGCAATAATTATAATATATTTTATGTACATTTAGTTTAACCTTTTGCCTGTTGCAAACTGAGTAGATCAGCTCATGTACTTGCAACAAAGCTGCCAGATCCAAAGACATCAGCCCAATAGTCTTCACTTTGTACAGCATTTCTGTTAACACGCGGTCTAGAAGACCAAGATTAACGGCCATGGGGACCCGTTTCGCTGACGACGTGATACCCTCTATCCACAGAAGTTGGCACTAACTTCACTGACAAGTGGTGGTCTCTCGGTTGGTATAGTTTGCTTGCAGACTACAGGCCACGGAGTTTGTTTTGTTTGTTTGTTTGTTTGTTTCTTAGGTGGTATCAAATGTTACACACTGATGTTTAAAGGAAAGAACAGACTTTTACTCTATTCTGTATTTGTGGTCATTTGATATTAATATGCTGAAGAACTGCGAATTTTTCTGAACAGCTGCACTCACACCCAAGCACCTTTGGCATTTCTAGCAAGCAGTTTTATGGTGGCTCTTGGCAGTCAAAGGGTTAACATAATTATTAAATTAGAAAGGAAATCATTGTTTTATATTTATTGTATAAAATAAACATTTACTGTAATATGGATTTAAATTCTTTATCCTTAATATTAAGTTGTCTTTAATTTCTTTTCTATTTATAAATAAAATGTGTGCTATATCTGAAAGTACAAATGAAATGTATATTCATTTAAGAGTACCATGAAAGCTGTAGACAGAAATTATGTGAAACTGTTTCCAGAAATGGTTCCGCATTAACCCAGGCAAGGTTACAGGCAGTTCAAAATTGTGGGGCAATGCATCATGAAGGAAGAGAAAAACACGAAAGATCTGCAAGTTTGAATCTCTTGTTGAGATTCCAGAGACTTTTGATAGCCCAAATTTATTGTCATAGTCACAAAATGAAATCTTGGAACTCACAGCAAGGTAAATTGTTATGTATTTTTTTTAAATTAAATGTTATGATTATTTATAGACAGAAGAGTGCACATTCATAACTATAGCAGCAGCATTTGTAGTATATGTCTTACCATACGAGCAAATATTCTGAGTTGCAAGTCATGTACCGTCAGCAGTAAAGCTTCACCATGTTATTAGCTGTAGAGAAATGGAAATGTTGAAGAATAAAGAATGAAAAATATCATCAGGCATATTTTGTTTTTAACCTGCATTTACTGAATCATCCGTTAATCTCCATATAAGGAGGCACTGAGAGGTTTTATAGCTCTGTGACATTAGACACTAAATATTCGGTACATCTAAAACAAGAGCCCAATTTTGGATTGTGTCATGTGACTTAATTTCAATTGTTATCACCATAAACATTTTTGTAAGGTATGTTCCAGTATTATCTTAATGCTCACCACTGTGAGAACTTCAGGTCTCAGTCATAGTAAAACTGCCTAATGATTTCATTGTTCCTCCTCTTTCAGATCAGGATGTTCTGGGAGCAGAATCTCTGCTCACAAAATACATTTATCAACTTTGCAATCATATCACTGAAACTTTGCCAGTTGCTTCAAGTTTGGCAGCTACAAGCAGTAAACATTTTTCTCTTGTTGTTTCAATTCTCAAAGGAGATGTCATAGGTATGTATTTAGGGGGTAGTGGTGTGTGGTGTGTTAATGTGCATAATACTCATACCTTCACCATCTGTATCCTTGTGTAACAGCTCAAGAACTTCTGAACTGATAGTCATGGGGACGTCTACAAAAATATGTTGACACATTCCATTTTTGATTAAAATTGGCAGGAGTTATGGTCACTTTATATTAAGTCATCCATTTCTGCATCCTTATCAAATGCCACCACTAAGTATTTATCTGAGTGAAAGAAGTCTTGAACAAAAATTGGAGAGAGAAATGAAACAGCACATTTTATGTCCAGTACACATGGGTAAGTAATGAAAGCTTACTTCGCAAGTGCGACTATAAAGAACAGCTTTGCAGAGGTTTGATGAATACAAGAAGTAATTCAAAGTCCAAGAACATATGCATGGATAATTCATATGTCAGTAATAATCAAATTGTGCTGCAGACTGCTGTCATCTGGATTTTGATGTTGTGTGGTTCAGTACGTGGTTACCAACATTTCAGAGGAACCTCCTGACTCCCTCTGCCCCAAAGATGGAGACTGCAGGTTCTTGTAGAAGGTTTGTAACCAACCACCAAATGAACTACATGGTGAGTAACACAGAAGATCTGCCATCTACTTTTTCATTGCCTTAAGAACCTAAAATTTGACTGTGTTTCACAGATGTGCTGTTACCAGAGTTGTTGGTGTGTATGATCTTGTTGCAACTGGAAGTTCCATTACTTCTCCATCAAGTGAACTGGGTACAGATGCTTGTGCCATTACTGGACACTCTGGATAAGTTCAACCGTTTGGCATCTGGTGTTGATAAGGAAGACATAGAGGATCTGTCTTGGCCAGGAATAATAGGTAGCCCTTGTTGTTCTTGTCATTGTCATTTTTGTTCTTATATCGTCTTTTCTATTTTATGCAGGTTCACATGTCTTTCTTCTCACAATCCTTCCTTTTTGATTTCTTGNCCCCCTCCCCCATACCTGGCTCAACTGTGTTGTTCTGATTTGTCCCATAGGTCTGTTTCCTTTAAATTTATACAGCCATTCTTGGTATCCCGATTTGATCCATAATTTCTACAGGACCAAACTACTGTTATTCTGTTAACTGTTAACAGATCTTGGATTCCAACTTCTCTCAAACTTTCATTTCTGATTCTACTCGTTATTTTTTTTTTCTTTAGTACTTCTGAAAAATTTTGTCTCCATAGCTTGGATTTTACTTTTATTTTTGTGCCTATGTTTTGGTACCATAAGTTCAAAATATACCATATACCCATAGATTGTTGTTTGTTCCATAATGGACCTTACTATATCCCCTAAGTAGTTTCTTTATCATGCAAATGGACTAATTTATGAGCGCCATAGAACCCCATTCTTTCCAAGAAACTTGCACTTGATCCATTATTCAAGAAATTCTATGCCTTTTATGGAATCCAGACCTGCCACTGGTCCATATCATGGGGCACATGAATCCTGTTCGCACCTTGCCATTTTTATAAGCTATATTTCAGTATTTTCCTGGGCACACATAGGCCTCTAAATTGGTCTCTTCCTTTGAGGCTTTCCTAGAGAAATAGACTACAGGTATCAAATATCTGAATAACTAAGACCACAGGATGTTACTGACATTTATTTACTTCTGTAGCCCCACAGCACACTATCTCTAGCCACAAGGCTCCAGAAGACATACCAATAATCAGAAGAGCTGACCTTGAAAACCACAATCGAGATGGTGGACTTTGGATTGTTGTCGACAGAAAAGTTTATGATGTTCAGGACTTTAGGTAGGTTTCATCCCTGAAACGTTCATTTAAGCACTAGACATAAGTGAGGATAATTTTTCCAGTTAAACATGAGAATCTGGAAAAATATTGAGAATGAGAATTTTGTCTGCTTCACCAGTGTTTTTACTGTTATTGCAGTTTATAGTACTAACCACTTTTTCACAAAGTAGTTCTTAATCTTATACTCATTAAGGAATTTAAGAATCTTCAGGTGCTCTTTTTCCGTTATGTCTGACTTGCACATCTTATATTTATTGTAATATGCAATATTCCATACCTACATTAACTTTTTAAACCTTATTGCAATGTTATGATGTTATGGTATATTTCCTCAAAGCAAGAACTGTGAAGCCAGCAGAGACAGCCATTGCTACAGAACTGCTCTGCAAACACACCTGTTGCTGGGCAACATATTTGTAAGCATGCAACAGTAGCAGTGCCATCGCTAAGCAACGTGCCCATGCAAGAAATGGATGAACTGCTGGAAGCAGTGTTCTGTATGCAGTTCTTGCCAAGGATATGTAACGAGGGCCAGCTGCTGTTAGCAGCCAGTCTGTGTAGAGTGTCTGTGTAGAATGAGATCGGGAGGGAGTCTGCAGGCAGACACTCAGTGAGTTGTGATAGCTGAGGCCAGTGACAGTTTGGGAACCAGAGGAAGGGGAACGTCCGCTGTTGGAAGCCGCTACCGAGCAGCCTAGTGAACACCATGACTGAGAACATTAGTCTGTGTGTGACAATGAATTGTAAAGTGTAGTCATAAGTTTTGTGTTAAAGTGTTCAATAAATCTTGTTACGAATCCAACCCAGTCTATAGCTACCCTATCAAATGACAATATACAGAATCAGATGTTAAAGTAAGTAGACTAGAATATTTTGCATATAAAACATTTTTGGATGTTAGGCTACCCATTTTTCTGAATTATGTAGAATTTCTTATGTAGAGATTGCACTGTGTTCCTATTCCTAACCTGTGTCATCTGTATATATGGAAATTTTCTGCTTTAAAATTACCAGAAATGTAAAACAATTAAACACAAAATCAGAGTGATAACATATTTGTAGAGCTCAAGCACCATGCAGCAGTGATCTTCTCCAGAGGTACGCAGGACGAGATGCAACTCAGCCTTTCCATGCAGCTGCACATTCCCAGGCTGCAAAAGAAATGATGCAAGGCTTCCTTGTGGGCTACTACATGGAACCCGAACAGGAAGTCGTTCAGGTACTCATTTGGTGTAGTGGTAACATTCTAGACTTTTATTCAATAGGTACTGAGTTCAAATCTCGGCCAGGACAGCAGCTAACCCGACTTGAGGTTTTTGTGCTTTTCCTCAGACCATCAAGGTTAATTCCAAGATATTGCCTCAGTCAGGCCATGACCGCTTCCCTTCAGATTCTTTCCAATTCATTATTCATCAGTCATTCTACTATTTGATACTGTATTGTTTGAGATACTGACAGTGTCATGGGATAAGCCACAGAAAAGAATTACACGTTTCACTTCAGTATGGTAATAACATAAATCTTCATTGGTTTACACAAAACATGCCTTCAGCGCCAGCAAAATTATGGTTCTCAGAGCTCTACTGTGGCCACAGAAAGAAGTCCCATAGATGGTGGGGCTGGCGTTGCTCAAAGCTTTCTCCTTTCTGCCCTTTGTTGTATTCTTCTCCAGTCTGATGTGCTGTTTGATAACCAGCCTGAAGCACTTGAGTGTAATGAAGGCTTTCATGTGGTTGTCATTACCAACATTCTCACAGAATGGTTAGGAGGCTTGAGGGGAATATAGGGAAATATGCTGGAGGGGAAGTGTGAGGGATGGAGTCAATGCATAGGATATCTTTCTGTGGCCTCAGTATAGATACAATGAAATATTTTTTCACATAAGCCTTTATCACATCTAGTCAATAAATTTAAGAATTTGTGTATACATACAGACACACATATCTAGACCCTCAGAGGATCCTTCATTTCCCTACATGATTAATGTGTCCACATTAGGTTCATAAGTACAGCTGCTGCACTCATCCAGTGTCACTCACATATGCTTGTCTATATCATGACATAAATGATTGTATTCACTGACTGGATATGATAAAGGCTTCTTGGACAGCTTCCCATTAAGTGATGGAAGCCACGTAGTGTGAGGGGTCTTAAGATCAGTATGGATAGCTAAATATGAGGATCTGGTGGTTTAGGGATGGATCCCAATGTTTCTGATAGACCAGATCAAGTGCATTTTAGGGGGCATTTATTTGCCCCACCCTCACCTTAAAAATTTGTGAATTTGACCCAACACTTAGCCTACACTGTGGTTCAGAGTCCATGTTAGGCACCTTATCACGTTCCTGTTATAATGGATATAATAGTTTGCACATAACTTGATCCATACTGAGTGGACGTATTTTCAGAAGTTCTTACTCTGTTGGATTTGAGGTCCTCATGTCAGTGACTATGAAGAGCACAGTTTTCTGGTTTAGTACCATGTAATTCTGAGAGATCCAAACATTTCCAAGGAACATACTGGCTCCGTCTTGCGGGTCAAAGAGTACGTCAAGAAGGAGAGAAGGAGAAGCAAGCAATGCTTCTGTATTTTCTTGCTTGGCGTACTCTTTGAACTGCAAGATGGAGCCAATATGTTCCTCCAAAATGTCAGACTGTCTCCAGATTGCATGGTGTTACAGCACAGAAAAATTTACACTTCAGTTTTTTCCTTCTCTATAAATAAAAACTACATTTTAAATATAAATTGCTAAAAGATTTTTGTGGAGACATCCCACTTTATACTGTACTGAAACCCTTACTAGATAAAAGTGATATGCATTCATGGAAGTGGATTCCTTGTGTTCAATCAAACAGGCAGAAGCTAGAAAGATTAAAGGTTCATAAAAGGAGGAAGTTAAAATAGTTTAAATTTTTAAGGACCAAATGTCATGTTCCAATGGTAAGCACACCTGCTTTCTATTCATGAGATCTTGGGATCAAATCTTGGCCCCTTCGACAGAGTATTGTGATTTAATCTTTTTGTAGTTTTCCTCAGTCCCTCAGCACACATTCAGGGATAGCATGGCCAATTCGGTTAAAATTGTTTCAGTTGACATCCTTTCCAGTTCATTATTCATTGATCCTCCTGCCACCAAGGCAGTTCCCTGTTAATGTTTTCTCTTAGTGTTCAGTTTCAGTGATCCCAAAATCTCAGTGTTAAGTTTTTTCTATTTCTGATTTTCCTCATTTCAGTGTCCAAATTCATTTCTCCCCAAAGCAGCCTTAGTCTGAGCACTGAGAGTGCCGTTAGATAAACCATGAGTAATTAAAACATGTAAGTGATCAAGTACAGATTCAACTTTCATTTTGCTGAATGTTGGTCATTCTGATATATTGGGTTTTTGGACTTTAGCCATCGTCCTGGTTTTTAAGATAACTAACAAAAACATGACGTTTTGGAAACTGGATCTGTTTCCGTCCTCAGGTGAAGGAAAACACCTATTCTGTTGGGTCCGTTAGAAAGAGCTAGCGTCGTGTTTTTATTAGTTATCTTAAAAACCAGGACGATGGATGAAGTCCGAAAACCCAATATCTCAGTGTGTTATACACCATCGTCAGAATCCTATAGTAACTAGTTGGCCATTCTGTTTCTCAGGCCGTGGATGGGAATAATGTGGCATCTCCTTTGATGGATGTGGAACGAAACCTGGCATTTCTCCTGGGTTTGCACGCACACTGGTTGTCACAGAGTACAGCCTTGCAGCCTGCAGAAGAAGAAGCACAGCGCTGGCTGCATGCTTTGTTTCTGCAAGGAGGCCTTCAGGTTTTGCAGCCTCCAAATCCTTATGAAGAAGAGAAGGGAGAGGCTCGAAGCACAAGTTCTACTGCTGGCACTACTCCCACTGAACCCAAGACTCCAAAGCTGGAGGGACTGCACAAATGGACACTGGATAGGGCAGCACCATTCCTACAGGCATTAGCAGAGAACAGGACTATGGTATGGTTCTGAAAGTCAGAGAACAAATACACTTCCTGTCTTCTGGGTTGTGATCCTGTTTAGTGTGGTAGATTGTTGCTGACTTTTTGGACTAGGCCCGCAATGTCCTCGTTCCATGTGTCATGACTACATTTTCCCACACTCAGTTTATGCTTCTCCCTAGAAGGTGGAAACAGCACATTCATCCGAGCTGGTAATGATCTATCAGACCACGCAATGTTATGTGCTAGGAAGACAGGAATCGTAATACTTGTTACTGTAGGAACCTTAAATCTCACATGTCGTATTTTCTTCTCATGCATATTATATGGATTTTCTTAGGAGGGAAATGGTCGATAACTTCTATAGATGAAGTTTCTAATTCTTCAGAATACATTTAACTAGTGAAGATTAATGTGTTGTGATATGTGATGTAAAGTCTGGTAAGTATCTACCAAACTATGATGTCACATCCCCGCAATGAAAACCTCAGATCTCACATTGAAGTAGTCATTTTTGATGTCTGACAGGATCCATATGTCCGTGCATTTCTGAGTATCGTTGAACGTCACTGCAAAGTACATCATTTGATGATGCATGGAGATTTCCCTGCTGACCATCCAGTAGAAGAAGTGGGCAGACTCTTAATGGCTGTTCTCATAAAACATCAGGGTTTTGGTTTCCAAGTCATAGCTCTCATAGACCAAGGTAACGATGATTTCAATGCAAATAAGTTAGGAAGTGTATGAATTCTGGCACATTTGCTCTCTTTATTGGCTTTGGTTTTTAAAAATGTCCCATGTAAATATTTTGAAAACTATAAGACTAGAGAAAATCTGTACTTGACAAAGAATATGTTCTTCTCTACAACTTTTGTTTGAAACGTTCTTGTCTGCCATAAATATCTAACAATGTACATTTGTGATGTTCTCAAATTATTACATGTGGACAGATATGGCAAATTCAATGGGCACATTTTTGTTTGTTGCGAATGCACTTTAATGGCTGTTGAATTGAGGTTAAAATGCTTCTGAACCTTCCCGTTTCTCAGATATTAACAGTTAAATTTCAGATCTTGTGATAAAATATGTACTTACAGTGAAAGAGATAGAAATGGTGTCATTTCTCCATATATATCATTCTTTACATGCTTAATGTCATTGTATCAACAGCACATTTTCTCATGTGCTGATATGTTCCTTGAATATGCTTTGAAGATTTCTGTCTTCTGGGAAGTAATGCCATGCAGTATGTTCAAAGTCACCTGATGTTTTGGAGGAACATGTCACCTCCATTGTCAAGAATGAAAAAGAAGCCAAGCAAGAATCAGGTGGCAAGTGATTCTGCATAGACTGCACAGCATTCAGCCTAGAAGACAACACTCTTCATAATCACTTCTTTGATATTCTTTAATTGCTACAGTGCAATGTGTGGAAACTGTACGTGAGTTTTCAAGAAGATATTAAAATCATATAACCTGTTATATTACTGTTTCTCATTCAGAGATGGATGGCAGTGGAGTTCCTGTCAAACTGCCAAAACAACTGATTGATATTATTAAAACAGTCCATCAAACAAAATGGAATCTAATAAAAACTAGACAGGAGATGAACCGATCCTACAAAGAAGTCTGTACACCGGTGTTGGACAAGTGCAGGTAAGTTGTTGGGCTGCATTCCAACCTGTATGCTGTTGGTATGGTAAAGGATTCTCAGGGCCCGTGAGTAATTCATCATTTCATACACATTCAATTTCTTTCAGCTTAAAAAGGTAAGTAAAAGGGTATCCCTGTAACAGGCTGTGGAGGCCCATAGGGTTGTGAGATGTTGTGGTTCCCACATTTTCTAGACAGTTGGCTCACAGATGGTGGTGAGGTTGTCAGCCTTACGCTCCAGCCGCACTTTACCCCCAAGAACTTTTTTTTTAAATATTCCTGGTACTCATTTCTGTTGTAAGTAATTTTGCCTTGTGTGGTACACTTATTTTAGCTTGGTTTTTTTTTTTAATAAATTGGATGATACAAAATCAATGTAAACTAAATTCATAAATTAATGGATTTAATCCACTATAAATCATTCTAGCTACACCTTTCATTATAGTCACTTTGTTAAACTTAATCTCATCACGAGATTGAAGTATTATTTTTTTTTATGTCTTAAGGTTTCCAAGATATTCTAGAAGATGTGGTTTTTTAATGTGGACCCTTTGGATCACATTGCCAAGGAACCATAGTGTAGATGATCTTGTTCTTGTGGTCTGTCTAATGATCTGGAGAAATCAGAATACCAGAAAAGTGTTCATTCTCTGCTATCAGAGTTGTAGTATAGCATAAGTTTTAAATTGCATGTTTTTTGCCATTTTACTTTCCAGATTCCTGTTGTATGAAATTCGAGCAGCTACAAGTTTTGAAGTGAAAGCCATGCATCACCTTCAGCTGCTCCACACAGTGCCCCGATGGAAGAATGCTGTGAAAAAGATCATTTCTGATAAGAAACTGAGAAAACATATGTCCTGTGCAAAACCAGAAGATATTCTTAATGCGAGCATACAGGTAACAAGCTGCATAAGATTTAGGTTCTTACAACACTGAGTGTTAAGACTGCAGGCTTCTGGTATGTGGCATCAGGGTAGTTTTGTTAATGGGCCCCAGTATTCTGAAGCAACCTGCTGCCTCAGTCCTCATGGTCAAAGTCAACCAAACTGGGAAAGCGGCAGGTTATACAGAAGTGAAGAGAAGGAAACAGGGCCTATGTTCCTCGTTGGCTTCTCTGGGCTCCATCCCAGGTTCTAATTGGTCAATCCCATATTCTGTGACCTGTTTACCCCTTACTTCTGCATAACCTGCTACTTCCACAACTTGCTGTACTTTCAACCATGAGGATAGAGACATTCTGTAGAAACATTATTACCAATCTACCAAACTACAGAGCATCACATCCAAGGATACCTTAGTCTCAAGTAATAAGGTGATATAGATTGAAGGTTTCTGCCTCAAGTGTTAATAGTGTATGAAGCTTCATTAGGTCAACAAATGATCATTGGATCCTTCAATGAAATGTTTTACATTTAGCCATCAATATCAAATTTAATATGAGTGAGTAGGTTTATTCTGGTGGGGAGGAGGATTGGAGAGGTTCAAGTTTAGTTTGTTTTAATGATTGGTTTGATTCTGTATTTCCTTTGGTTTTGGTATAGCAAAGCTCAGGACAATTCTTGAATTCTTACTCTTCAAACAAAATTATGTTTGTTTCAGTGCACACTTCTGATTTATATTTGACAGAAGTGTGATGAAGAATAATCTCTTGGCCAGTGGCCACATAAATCTCGTAAGCTAAATGACACGTAGTTCAGTGTAATGCTAAAAGATGACAGAAGTATATACTTATATCATCTGTTCTTTCTCTTGTCAAACCCTGTTGTTTAAGGGAAGTATTTTGTTCAAGGAGGGCGAAGAAGCCAAGGCAAATCCTTACAGCGTGAACTGACTCAAAGAAAAGATTAAAGACCTTGAAAAGGAGGCTATCTGTTATTTTACTGATGGTTCAAAAATGTGTGACCAGGAATTGGTGGGCTTGTGATGTGTGACAGCACCTGGAGAAATTAGACATCAGTATCGGACTACAAAGTTTGTGTCAGTTTTTATAGGAGAGGCAATGGCTGTTTTGAACACTTTACAGATAAATAGTGAATCCCAAGAAGAATTATTGTACATATGTTCTGACTCTAGAAGTGTACTCTTATGCCTTAACAAGAGATCACTAACAAAAAACACTCAATATTAATCCTGAAAATAAAAAAAAATATTGGCATTGAAGAAACATAAAAAGGACATTAAATTTGTATGGATCCCAGCACACATGGGTATTGTCCTCAATGAAATAGCAGATGCATCAGCAAAGGAGAGTATTCAGAAAGGTGAAGATGCCCAATGCTTGATTCCTGACACAGACTTGAAGAGCTATTGGAATATCAGACTGAGAGTAGCAGCCGAGGAATGGTGCAGAGAATCTGGAAAACAGAAAGGAAGGAAGTACTTCGAGTACTACTGCGAAAACAATGGAAAACCTTGATTCAAGAGATTCAAATTTCAAAGAAAATCTGTCATCTTGATAAATAGAATAAGAAGTGGCCATTATTTTGTAAAAGAGTGCTTTATTGGGTTTAATACCATTAATACAAAAATATTTGAATGTGGCGAATCCAAAAAAGTATAAATCACATCCTGTGGCAGTGTAAATTATTTCAGGAATTTGGAGTTCAGATGGTAGATGACTTAATGAAATGCAAAAAATTTCCACCATACTATATTGAAGACATTCTGCACTGCATGCTATCGGAAGCAGTAATCCTGGTAGCACAGTATACTGACAGCATTAATATAAGAATATAACTACTTCAAGGATAGTTAGTAGTTAGAGTTCTTGTCTATACAAGAATACCTAAAGAGTACTTGAAAACTGTATCTGCTGGCAAGATGGTCTCTTCAGCCTAACACCACTTATTTCTTTTTCTTCCAAATAAAAGAATATCATCATCTGTAGGGCTCAAGCATACACTGAAGTAGAGAAGGAATCCAGGCTGTGGAAAGATGTAAACAATAAGTGTGTAATGCTGGGACTGCACTGGATTGAGGGATACAGGTTAATTCATTTTGTAGAAAGTGAGACCACCATTTGAGATTTCTTTGGCAAGCAGTGAAGTCAAACACTAAACTGAACAAGATCCTCAGTGGAGGGAATTTAACACTGAGATTGTTGACATAGGATAATTGAAATTGCATGTTAACTTAATAAAGACTCAGTTTCTCTTCAGTAATGTATAAACCTTGAGTTTGTACCACACAGGAAACACATTACGTCTCCTCTACAAAGCCGAACTGCTTAATGCTGTTTAGGGAAACAGTTGCTGTTTATTGTGAATCATACAGGACACACAGATACACTCTGTGGGCAGAATGCAGAATTTTACTATGTTAAAGCAGTTGGTACACATGATAATGACAGGGCTTTAGAGGGTTAAAGAAGGAAAACATTAAATGGGAGCTCTACTGTATTTTGTTCATTATCAGTATAACTTATATCTGTGATCACACTTCTTGCTGTGAGTTCGCTGTGTGTGTACTGTGTAACTCAGACTTCCAGAATTTACCTATGGTGTGTGCTGAAGCATATGTTGAAGTCACCAACTTCAGGGAGAATCACAGTGAACGTGATGCCTGCAGGGTATGCTGAAACAATGAGCACATGACACAGCTGAACCTTGAAGATTAAAGTTACATATCAGATGTATGACATGAAAACCTAATGACAAGAATATTGTACTAACGTTGTTTCTTATTATATATGCAGAGTCAAGGTGCGGAGGCAAAGTGTAAGGAAAATGAGGAGGAGACTGAGTCATGGACCAGAGATGAGAAGAAGGATGAAGATGAGGAGGAAGAGGAAGGGGATGATGGCTGGGAGAGTACAAGAAACATGCTTTTGCAGATTGCAGGTAGAGATTTGTCCTCAGAATGTGATGCAGTGTAGATTGGTAGGTTTGTGCCATTGTTTCAGAAGAACCTGTGTACTAGACTACACAGCATCACATTCCAGAAGACCAGTCTTGAGTTAGAAAGTCATCATTCAGAGCAGAAAAGAAACCCTATCTTCATGTGCATGAAGTGTTACTATTTTCTTTTTTTCCCCCTTTATTTTATGATGATGTGAATATTTATACACTGTAACATCAGTTGGTAGGATGAATGATGAATTGGAAAGTATCTGGAGGGAAATGGCCTTGCCTAATTGAGGTACTACCCTGGCATTTTCCTGGACAGGGAGGAAAACAATAAAAGCCTTGAGTCAAGATAGTTGATGTCCCAGCCAAAATTTGATCACCCAACTCCTGAATATGAATGTTGGGCATTATTACTACACCAGCCTATTTGCTAAAATATTACTTTAATTTTAACTTAAGTCTGTGGGGATGGGCAAAGAAAATATATGTTATTTTAGACCGATATGGTCATCATCAGGTGCTTCAAAATTGATACTGGAAACTGCTACACTTCTGCCAATGTATACAATCCCAAATTTTACATTGCTTTATCTCCTATGTGTTGTACGTTTGTAGTGCTGCGTGACACCCCTTACATACCATATGCGGCTGTCCAGCAAATTTTCAAAGCACCTGATGTTGACCATATCAGTCAAAACATGTAGTTTACCAGAGATTTAAAATTCAAAGTGAATTTTAAGGTTTTAAGTTACATGTGAGTTTGTGAAATAAGGAGTAGAAACAAGTGACATGCAACAGGATGCTGCAGTACAACATTATGGTGTAGTTGGAAGCCTATGCCATTCCAAATCAAGAGGCTTTGACAGTGGCAGAAGTGCTGGTTACCAGCTTCTACTGCTTCACAGTACCACGGGAGCTTCATAGTGACCAGGGCTGTTAGTTCAATTCCCGTATGATGCAGGAGGTTTTGCAAAGCCTGGGAGTGAGCAAGGCATGTAGCACACCCTTGCACCTGCAGTCAGACAACATGGTCAAGCGCTACATCAAAATGGTCAAGGAGCACGTACGAAAAATCATTGCATCACACTAGAAGGATTGGGCCACAATATTACCCATCTTCCTCCTTGCTTATAGGATACTCATTCACGAACTGTGGGCTTGACCCTGGCTAGTCTTGCATTTGGAAAGGAACTCTGACTGCCCTGTGACGTTTTTGGGGCCCCTCCTTTGAAGGAATGTTCCACATTTGATCACACTGCAAATTAGTGGCTCAGCTATACGACATCGACAATTATACCTGCCAGCACCTGAAGCTGACCAGTGACTGGATGAAAACTCATTATGACAGACTGGTCAACGGTGCAGGCTATGACAAGAGCAACAGAGTTTGGATCTGTTACCCAATCCGCATGGAGGGGAAATTGCTGAAGCTCCAATCCACCTGGGAGGGCCCATACAAGGCAGTCATCCAAATAAATGATGTATACAGGATGTAGCAGAACCCTAGATTGAGGATGAAGGTGGCACACCTTAACTGGCTCACACCTTATCAGGGAACTGCTTGGGATGAGCAAGCTTAAGGAGGGAGCAGTGGGGGCAGTTGGAGAGTAATCACTGAGAGAAATGAGCCACAGGGAAGGGAGGCTAGGCAGATCACAGATGTTGCAAGCACAGCCACTGGAAAAGAAGAAATGACAGTACACCTGTAGGCTATTCAGGACGAATAGCCTTAAGGAGGGAACAGTGACATTTAGTTGAGAGTCAACAGTTGGAGCAATGAGTTAGTTGTGAGGCAGTTGCGAGCTGGTAAGAATAAGAGCAGGGAAGCAGAGGGTATTCTTGGGATCCATCACCAGGCAACAACTGGTGGAGACATAGCAAACTAAGAAGACTTTGTGTGTGCTGTAGTTACAGTGATCTCTGAAGTGTGTAACTCAGTGAGACTGACGTAGTTACTTGTAGTTACGTTCTGTATGTGTTCAGTAAATGCAATTACCAATCCAAAACCCCATATATAATAACTCAGTCACATGACAGTGCTATGTAGTCTGGTACATGGTTCCTGAAGTGTGTTGGCACCCACCTACCAGATCATGCAATGTTATAACGAAGAAGTCCACAGCCTAAATCTTCACCCACCACCAACAAGTTTTGAATCTTATATGATGTGTAGAACATATTTCATGTGTTGTGCCTGCTTAATGCAGAGAAACAGCAGAATAACATGCAGTGTCCAGACGTTGTCAAGATAACAAATGCCATAACTGAATTCGTGATGCAGGAGGAAGGCGGTGACGTGGAAACTTTACGGAAAGCTTTGTATTGTCAGGTAAAAACCATTCATTACATCTTATTGGTCATGTGTTGAGTTACCTTTACAAATTTTTTGAAAATAATTTTGGTAGTATCTGTATTGTTGACAGTAGGTTTGAGAAAACTGCATAATGAGGAGCTTCATAACTTGTACTCTTCTCCAAGCATAATTAGAATGATCAAGTCAAGGAGGATGAGGTGGGCAGGTCATGTAGCTCAAATGAGGGAGATGAGGAATGCATATAGGATATTGGTGGGAAAGCCAGAAGGAAAGACACCACAGGGAAGACCAAGGCGTAGGTGGGTGCACAATATTAGAATGGATCTTAGAGAGATAGGATGGGATGGTATGGATTGGATAGATCTGGCTCAGGATAGGGACCAGTGGAGGGCTCTTGTGAACACGGTAATGAGCCTTTGGGTTCCATAAAATGCTGGGAAATTCTTGAGTAGCTGCAGAATTGGCAGCTCCTCCAGAAGGGCTGAGCTCCATGAGTAAGTAAGTAAGTAAGTATCTGTATTATTGCATGCAGACAGACATGCAACTGTGGTGAAGCCTGTGGGCACAGTTTTACATCCTTTCTGAGAATCCAACAAAAATTGATCTACATTAATGAGTATTGAATTCAGGTCAGGATGTTGGTGAACCTCGCCACTCCTCAGATATCAACATTTAAGATTCAGATCTTATGATAAAAGACTTACAGTGGTCCTGATGCTGAAAGAGACATGTTTCTCCAAAACGTTGATTGACTTTCAACAGACTACATGACACATCCCAGAAGATAGAACTCTTCTCAAATCTAATTTCATGTTAAATTCAGTTATGACCCTGCTGGTAAAATATGGGTCATGTGGAATAGGTAATTTAAAGCTTCTGGGAGAAACTGAAATTATCTTATTGTGTATGTTAGGAATTTTATTTCAGATTATATAATATCTGATTTTCTCCATAGGTCCAAAGAGCACGAATCAGGATTCAAGGAAATGAGATGATGTATGAACTCTTGAAAAGGGATTATTTGATATCTTCTGTTAAGTACACGTTGCTGAATGGTTGGTTAGGCCTTGTGCATAAGAAGCACATTTTAAGGTGAGTCTGAAAGTTTGATTTCATCCATATGAGACAGGAGGTACTCATGACAGCAAACAGTAAGATAACATCAGTTTTGTTGGGTTCTGATGATTGTATATTTTTGATTCTGCCTGAGTACAGAAACAGATCCAATATTCAAAATTTGTGGTATACTCAACTGGCAGACAGGTGTCAACGTTTTGACGGATGCTGCTGCATCTGTCTTCAGGGTAGACAATATGGTGTAATATCCAAAAAAAATTGTAATCTTCTCATTTCGGTGCTGTATACGTCCTAGTATTCCGTGTAACCTGTTCCGTTCAATGTTATGTTAAATTGAATCTTCTTCTATCATAGTGTGACATGTTGCGCAACAGAGGACCCCTACCTCCCCAGCGGCACGTGGCGGTAACGTAGCACTCCCCCCCCTCCGGGGTGACATAACACGCAATGTGCAGTGACATAAGACGGTGCGAGGTAACAGCGTTGCTAGGCTATACGCCACGTCACAGTAGTGACGTGGCGGGCGACCCTAGCAACAGCGAACAGAATAAAAGCCGGCTGAGCAGCAAGCGAGAGTCAGTGTGTTGTCAACAGTTCTCAAGGTAGCAGCCTGCGAGTGTGTGATAACTAAGAAGTCAGCGAGCGGAAGACTTATTGTGTGCTTTCGAGACTTAGTGAGTGCTGTAGTACAGTTATATTTGGAGTGTGTAATTCAGGGAGATTTGTATAGCTCCCGCGTTATTAGTACGTGAAGACTTTGGTTGTAGGGTTTGTAAAGTGTGGAAACCCGCAACTGTGTTATAATTAATTGTAGCCGTGATTTGTAGGTTGTTAAATAAACCAATTAACGATCTCTACGGCGTATTCAGTAACGAAACACGTTACATTTTGCAAGGTAGCATGCAGTTTCTGTTTCTGATAGGTCATGAAGAATTAGATTGCAGCTTTTGCAGTGTCATGACATATCTCTCACTTATTTTCTGTATGCTAGATCAATTGGGATCACAGTGGCCAGTGTTTAGGTGTCTGATGTGTAGCACTGACAGAGATCATTGCAAAGTATCTCATTAGTCTCTTCTGTTGAGATTATCTAACTAATTATATCTGTATAATTCTTCTTGGGAAGCCAAGCCACATGGTTAGCCACTTTTTACTGAACCCAGAGGCTAATAAAAATGATCACAGATGCCCATCACTGGTCCCGGTCCTAAGTCAGATGAATCCAGGCCACATCCTCACACCATTTGCATTTCAGACTAGCACTATAACAAAAATTCCTGCTGCAACACAGAAACAATGTTTGTTGTCTGTTACTTAGCTGTACCATTTCTTTTGGGTGGTTCTCACATTGCCAGTTAGTAACACTGCTGTTTGATGTGATGCCAATAAGGTAACTGCGCAGTTCGTAACAGGCGCAAACTGTGACTAGTGGTAGGTCCAGATTTCAATGTTTTGACTTCATGGAAGAAGGGAAGATAGTCAATTCCAATAATAATGCATTTAAGTGACTGGCTGAGGCTGGTAACTCAAGTCCTGAAGGAGTAAAGTCACAGCAGAGTAGATACTGGTGGCGCAGTTCGATCCCAGACTTCCTCACTAGGATATGTAAACACAGTGCCTGGCAAACAGTCCTCCTGCCTGCCTTATATAGCTAAATACTGTAGTTAGGTAATGTGGGACGATCTTCAGCACCACAGTCAAACTGTACTTGTCATTGTTTTCAGGGAAGGTTTGTCATACTGCCTTGACAACATTCAGTCAGTGAATCCATACCAGAAAGTGGAAGTGCTCCTATCACAAGCCAAGATTACATCGTGGGCAGTAGCATCGTTACGTGAGCATGTCCTAATGGCCGAGCAGCCGAGGAAGACTCTTAAGCTGAAAGGCAAAGGCTCATTGAACCAAGGAACTTACAGTTGGCTGAGGAAGCTCCCCTGGGCAAGGTGAGTGGAACAGTTGAGGAGTCTCCAGTGAGGGGGGGGAAGAGGAAAAGGTCTTCTTGACATCCTGTAAATCCAACGATGTCTGAATTATGGGATAGGAATTATTTGTTATCCTTTGCATTGCTGAATGCTTGTGTAGAGCTGCTCACAAGAAATTCTTCCTCAGGTGGTACCCAAGATAATGGAGATCAGAATTAGAATTTGCAGTATATAGAAAACCTACACAAAGAGATATCATAATATTGAACGACTCCTGCCACCCATATGAACATAAAATATCAAGTACTAATTACCTAATGAACAGAGTGAACACGTACCCAGTAACAAAAGAAGCAAATATATGGAACTAAATATTTATACAAGACACATCATATAACAGTGAATATGATAAAAACTTAAGCACAAAACATCTGAATCAGTGCAAACACAACAAAAACACAGATCAACAACACCAGAAAACTAAATGGGCTATTTTCACATATAGTGGAAAAGAAACAAAGAATTACAAAATTCTTTAAAGAAACACAAATAAAATAGCATTTTGAGGAAGAAACACAATACAAAACGTGGTTAAACCCCACCCACAAATAGATGCAGAACCACTAAAAGCTATCCCTGTAACAGGCCATGGAGGGCCATAAGGTTCTGAGATGTTGAGGGTCCTACATTATCTAGACAGTCGGCTCACAGATGGCGATAAGGTTGTCAGCCTTACGCGCTGGCCGCCCTTTACCCCCCAGGAAGATTCCTGGTACTCATTTCTGTTAGAGGCTGAGTCGACCCCAGGGCCATAGTGCGGCTGAAAGGATTAGGTCAGTTGAGAAATCTACCTCATCAGGACTCAAACCTGCGACCTTCTAGCTTGTAACATAGTGCCTCAACCAACTATGCTACCACATGCCCCTAAAAGAACCTGTACCATAATGAAAATGTAATTCTTTGATTGGTATGCACATTTATGTCAACTCAGTACACTACGAGCATTAAATGATTTTTATAAACTTAATGATTTTTAAATGATATAATTTTTTTACAGTAATTTTTATTTTGCAAGTCAGTATTCTGAAATGGCAGAGTTGGTGTGTGTGTGTGTGTGTTGAAAAACGTTTTGGAGCCTTAATGCAAAGTTATATTGAAAGCATGGTCAGTGAAATGAGTAATGTTGTGTAGAGACAGTTTCTTTTGGAAATTGTTTTGGAACTTGATCTACTGTAAACTAATCATATACTTCTTGCATTGCAGATTTCTGTTAACAATCCTGGGAATGCTAACAGGGAACCATCATGGCAACGAAGTCAGCTTGATTGTAAATTCTGGTGTTCTGGCCCTAATACAATCTTTACTGAGGCAAATGGGTAAATGTTTGCAGTTATAGATTTATTTATTTCTTCTTTTATGAGATATAAAATTCTTTCTATGAATGTAGATGTTTCTAGACTGAGTGAGACTGTAAGAAATGCCATAGATGACTCACATTTGAAAATAATAGCAGTTGATTATTGTGGATTTGAGTACTGAGAGATAATTTGATATGTCATATATGATCACTTTGTAGTTAGTCTCCAAAAGAGGTTTTGAGAGACTGATTGGAGGTAGTGTTAATAGCTGAGGTTTGAGATTTTTGTGGGAGTGAAATTATTAATTATGGCCTTCTGGTTTGAAGTGGCATGTTCATCAGAAATATTACTAACCGCCTACAGAAGTACACAGTATCATAACCCTGAAGAATGGACGAAGACTATATAGGAGGATGATGTTAATATGGATATTAGCAATAAAATTAGTGAAGATGTGAATTATATAGAACTGGCAGTGGGTGAGGTATAATGATACACTTTAGCATTAGCAACACTGATTTGTATTGCTTGATGTTGAGTTAAATAACTGAATTTATTTGAGGTCACTGAAGGCTTTTGTTCTGATTTCCAGAGCTCATTCACAGCTGTTCAGATTTACTTTGATGTACATTGCAAGGTTTCCTATCTGAAGTGCTAAAATAATGATTTCTGAATATTATGTAGGTTATCAGTGGAGTGACCATAAATGACAGGTTGTCAAGACATCAGTTAATGACTAGAAAATTCTCCCTGAGGTAGAGTGACCATGCAAAACAACCTCACTGCACAAGGACTAAAACCACAGTAATGTACAGATCTTATGAGCAACCTGTAGATTTTGACAAGAAACCATGATCGAAATACAACTGAAAGTCTCCCCTATAATATGAGGGTTGTACTGAAAGTCATGAGCAACAATTTTTTGTAAAGTAACATGCCTTATTATTGACAAACCAAATACACCACCTCAATCTACAGACCTTTCTTTATTTTTCCACATAATCGCCACTTCTTTGTACACATTTCTCCCAGTGTTCTGGGAGTTTGAAACTTCCCCTTCTGTAAAATTCCGTTCCAGCCATTCGAAGACACTGACACACTGCTTTGTGAATTACCTCCCTTGTCTCAAAACGTTGTCCACGCAGCTGATCCTTCACAAATCTGAAAAGATGGTAGTCGGAGGGTGCCAGATCAGGGCTATAGGAGGTGTGTGGAAGAACTTCCCACCCCATCTTTGCAATTGCATCCAGTGTGGTTTTCATCAATAACCGCGGGACCCAACGAGCACAAACGTTCCTCTAGCCCAAGCTATCAATCATCTCCTATATTCACTGTGCCCTATTCCAAGTTTTTGGGTTATTGTGTCCACAGTCACATGCCTGTCATCTTGAATGATCTCATCCACTCTTTCCTTGTTGCATTCAGTTGAGGCTGTTAGAGGACGACCGCTCCGAGGCTCATCTTCGATGCTGGTGTTCTCATCTTTAACATGTTTCACCCACCTTCGAACAATGCTCACATCCATGCACACACTTCCATAAGCATGCTGAAGTCTCTGGTGAATTTGTGCATGGATCTCCAGAAATGCTGAGATCAAGCCCCAGCAAAATGCCTTTCACATTAACAGGCAGTACACCAGTGTCTTCAGCTAAATGAAAGCTGTTTAGGTCACAGTGCAGGGATTTACAGTGTTTGACTGAATATATGCTACACTTCTTTTCCCAAAGTTGATGCCTTGAAAATCAGAATGGAGCATATAAGCGATTCTTAAAATAAAGAAAATCCCGTTGTAGACTCTGGATCTGGTACAGGTACATAGTTCATTGTGACCAAGAGGTAACTTTATCACCTTTTGTAGAGTCATTTCATCTTTCAGAATATGACACTTTTGGTGCAAATTGAGCTGGAATTATGTTGTGTTTTTAGGTGATGAGGACAGGTGAATGTTTACCACATTTTGATATAACTGGAAAATTTGTGAAGTGATATGCTATGGAACAAGGGTAGTCAGAAGTTGGACTGTGAATATTTCATCTCATCATGTGTTTCATATATTGCATGGCAGGACCAGAATTCTCATCATGCCTGGAGGATAAAAACAAGGAAGTATTTGCAATATATGAAGACACTCTTCATAAGAATTCCCCTCCAGCTGCCATACTCACCGGCCCAGAGCTTGCAAGTATGATGAAAATAGGAACGCGTGTTGTAAGGGGAGTGGACTGGAAGTGGGGGGATCAGGTCAGTGCCCTTATTTTATTTTTTGTTGAAGACAGATTGACAGGAAGTAGTACCTAACCCATAACAGCCAAGAACTGCTGTATTACAGAGGTACATATAAGAGGAAGGATTAAAAAGTTCCCAGAATTTACTATGGTTCCTGTTAAAATGGGGGGATAGAAGTAGATTCTGAAGGGTTCTGATAATGATGTATAGCACTCAGAATAATTGGGTTTATGGACTTTGTCTATCCTCTGTTATTCTAAAAAAGAACTATTGAACTCAGTGTTATGGAAACTGGATCTCTTTACATCCTCAGAGGGAGAGGGAGACACCTAGGTAGTTCCCTAGTACTTTAGAATACTGCATGATGGACAAAGCCCAAAAACTCAGTAAATCTGAGGGGAATTAGTGTTTGCAGAATGGACTGTGTGCTATCTGTGGATCAAGTTGCAACACCCTGAGGCATGTGCTACGGTTGGCTGTGGAATGGATATATGTTGCCAACACTTGTTGGAATGTCACAGTTTGAGCAGCAAGTGAATGTCAAGTGTATTTTCAAGCTACAGAAATGAGCTGCAGTGCAGTTTATGGAGATAAAACTCTTAAAGAGTCTGGTGACTGGGTTACCTTTCTTACATATGCCTTTTATTAAGAATTGTGCCTAAATTCCAGGAAGTTTTTGATCCTTCCATGTACATGGTACAGCTTGACAAGTGTTCAGTTCTATTGGTGCTACTACAATTACTTTTAAATTAGAATGTGGCTGCCATGTAATATGAGGAGATTTAAAATTCCCTCTTCATGGAGAATAAATTGTTACCCCTGGATTCAGAACTGTCCAGTAGCCCTCCAGTTCCAGCACTGTGTGGTTACTAGAGTTAGTGCTTTGACTAAGCACTGTATGTTCTCTGGTTATTCCTCTACACTTTGGTCTTTAAATCATTCAGGTATGTGGATTAGCTTGTTTTTTTTGGGGGGGGGGGAAGTTGGTTGTCTTCTATAGTGTCTGGGTGCTATAGTCAGATTGGCAGCCAACAGCCAGTTCTCAAAGAAATAAAAATCATATTTACAAGGTGTACTTAGTAGTTCAATTATTGATTAATTTCTTTAACAAAAATAATACCTTTGCTGTGTTTTGTGATAGCATTTTCCAGACTTTCTGTGCCTTCATCTCATTTATAACAATTTTAGATTTATAAGATTGTAAAAATGATGCAGGAGTGTTCATATAATGTCCCAGAAAGGGAAAAGGGTCTTCCATTTACATTTATATGACTGTCAAATAGCAAGTAATTTATGTAAAATCTTTAAAGCAGTTGCCATTGTGACCTAAGTACTTGATACATTTAGACTGAGCAAATTGGCTCAAACAGCAGCGCATCTGACTTCTATTCAGAAGGTGCCTGGTTCAGTTCTAGTCAGTCAGTCATTGTGACTGACGTTTCTCATGGTTTAGCTCACCCTGTCTACTGAAATGTTAGGATTGTACCTTAAATTAGGCAATGACCAATTCCTTCCATGTCTTTCCAATTCATTATTCAGTTTCATCTAATAATTTGATATAAATTCATAAACCATTTTAAAGCCATGCTGAGAATCCATTATGTTACCTCAGCTTTCTGGTCATTAGCACCCAAGATGAACTTTCATGTGATATTTCTGTATCATCATGATGACCATATCATTGAGGATAACAACATGCCCTATGAGTGCTGCCACCCAAGAGACTGATTCTGCGCCTTTTCTTAGGTTGGTAGTGGCTAGAAAGGTGAACACAGGCTGTATCTAGAGGCACTCAACAGACAGCATTGTATCAGATACATGGAGTGTGTGTTTCTCGTACAGGATGGACCATTGCCTGGGGAGGGGAGAGTCATAGGAGACTTAGGAGAGGACGGCTGGATTCGCGTCCAGTGGGATAATGGCTCCACCAATTCATACCGCATGGGTAAAGAGGATAAATATGACTTGAAATTAGCAGACCCTCCAACACCTGCAGAGATGGACACGGAATCTGACACAAATGATGAAGCTACAAAAGCACGTAAGTTATGCATATCAGCCTGCTGAAGTGAAATAAACATTTGCCTTGCAAATTCTGTTCATGTACTCCATCCACCATAGGAACGAGGGCATGTCTTCATCAGTTAGTGACATGGACCATTACTTAGGTTCTGTTTTCAACATACTTCTGATGTTCAAATGCTGTTTAGCAATTCAAACACTGCCTACACAAAAGTATGATGTACCATGTTTGTTGAGTAGATGAGATATGTTGTATATAGAAGAGAACTGTGGGGTGTGCTTAGCATGAATGAATATTTTTCGAAGTAGGAGACTGGTACCAGGTGTTTAGATTATGGTACTGTGTGTGATGTTATGTTGTCTTGTAGACACATCCAAAAACATGTAATCTTAATAAAATGGAACTTTGATATTGTGTGTTCTTTTGTTTGGCATCAGCCATATCCCCCTGAGAATAAAGATGAATTTTAACCATTTTATATTTACTCAAACTTTTGTATTTACTGATTTACACTACATTTTTCTAGTCCTGACAATGAAAATTTGCCTTATATTATGTTTACAGCCTTCAGTTTTGGAAAATTCAAAAAACTTGGAGACCATTCTGCTGATATTCAGGGTTTGTCATAGTGAAATGGGCATATCTTTGCATATGAACATTTTTCAACCTCATGTGAGAGAGCTGTGCAGGCTGGGAGCTCAAAGAAAAAAAGAAACAAATGATGTAGTTTGTCAGATTAGATAAATAACACAGCATGTAGTTTAATGTTGTTATGTTCAAACATGTACGAAGGGGGACCCAAAAATAACCGGAACCGACCTGTTGCGCGTGTATGCTTTGTAGTTACAAGTTGTGCTGCTAGGTGGTGTTAGCTGGGGGTCTCCCGCGACTGTTAGTGAGCTGGCGTCAGTCTGAGTTAAGTGGTTTGTCTGTGGTGCTCTGTTGTGTGCGTTCCTGTTTCAACCCTTTGGCGATTAGTGAGATGGCCGACCAGAAGGAACAAAGAGTGTGCGTGAAATTTTGCTTTCTGTTAGGGAAAACTGCAGCCGAGACTGTTGGGATGCTTCGGCAAGCCTTTAATGATGATGCTTTGGGGAAATCACAGGTCTACGAGTGGTTTTCCCGTTTCAAATCTGGCAACATGTCAACAGAAGACATGCCACGCCCCGGGCGTCCTTCGACAGGAAGAAATGACGAAAACATTGCCAAAATCAAACGTGCAATTGATGAAGATCGTCGAAAGACCATTGACCAACTTTCTGAGGAAACGAACATCTCATGGAGCATGGTCCAGCGAATTTTAACCGAAGGTTTGCACATGAGACGGGTGTCTGCAAAATTTGTTCCTCGCTTGCTCGGAGATGACCAAAGAGAAAACCGCGTGAATGTTTGCTGCGACTTGAAGAGTGAAGTGCAGAACGATCCAGAATTTCTTAAAAGAATTGTGACTGGCGATGAGTCTTGGTGCTACAGGTACGATCCAGAATCAAAGCAATCATCAAGCCAGTGGAAAACTCCAACTTCACCACGACCGAAGAAAGCGCGTCAAGTGCGATCCAATGTGAAAACAATGTTGATTTGTTTTTTTGATGTGAATGGCATTGTCCACAAAGAGTTCGTTCCGCCAGGACAAACAGTGAACCAACATTTTTACCTGGATGTGTTACGAAGATTACGAGAGAGTGTGCGACGAAAACGGTCCGAAATGTGGAGAAATGGGAACTGGTTGCTTCACCACGACAATGCTCCAGCCCACACCGCTTTGACGGTCCGACAGTTTTTGACAAACAACAACATGGTGATTGTGCCTCATCCACCTTACTCACCCGACCTGGCTCCGTCGGACTTTTTTTTTTTCCACGGATGAAGAGAAGTCTGAAAGGAAAGCGATTCCGTGATGTTGATGAAGTCAAAGAAAACACGCTAAAGGCTTTGAACAGTATCCAGCCTCAAGAATTCCAGCACTGTTTTGAGCAGTGGCAAAAGCATTGGGACAAGTGCATTAATGCACATGGACAATACTTTGAAGGGGACTAATTTACAGTTCAATAAAAATGAAAAAATAAAAAATAACAAAAATAAATTCCGGTTATTTTTGGGTCCCCCCTCGTATATTTTAGAAAGGCTTGCTGAAGTTATGGTATAAAGAAATCCAAATTTTCCTTGATGATTCATCATTCTCATTTCCTCCATTTTACACTTTCCTTGATGTTATATTTATTTTAGGTTGTCCCTTCAGCAGTGTAAAATCAAATTTTCAGTGCATTCACCACTGTGAAAACCTCAAATCTAAGTAGATATCAGTTTATACTATTAACATTTTCAAGAATTGTGCTGTAAGTTCCATGCCTCTTGCCTTTAGACAGTCAGAATCATAGAACTGACATTTCATTATTATTGCTGTGTTTCATAACAGCCGAGAAACTCACCTGTAAAGATTCACATCCTACAAAACTTCTGAAGCAGGCCTCATTAACTCTCCTCAGAACAATTTCAATTTGCTGTGGAATTAGTGCAGATCATGTTCAGCCATCATCAACAAAAATATTATGTTCACTACTGAGGGATATAATCCAGGTAAGCAAATGTTATCTGCATTCAGAATTTAATGATCAATAAAAGTTCCATCCAGGTTTAAGCATTTGCTAGTTTTATGAGTATTCACCGTCTACTCTCGGTATACAAGCAAAACTTATTGTTACTGTATTATCCTTGTTGAGTTCCATTTTGAGCAGAAGGCTGAAGTATGGAACCTTTGAGACCGTCAGAGGAATGGCGCCATGATCAGAGAACTACTGACTGTAAGAATAATGGAATTTAAAGACAATATGGAACTGGAAAGAACATATTGACAGGATAAGCACTCCTCTACTAGCTTCCATCTCTTAATGCAACATGAACTTTTATTTTAAATTGTCATTACAATCACATTTAAATTTCCTAAAATGTTATCAAAATCACATTTTGTTTTACTGTTGAAACATTTTTGGGCCCTATAAGGCCATTCTCAGGCAAGTGTTAATCAATTGAAACCACTGCACTGCATCAGCTTGTATGTCAATATTGTCGCGTATCGGGCTTATATCGCGACAAATAAATTCTCGATGTATTCGATGCAGCGAGTTTTATTTCACATTCGCTCATACAATCACCCAATATTACAATCTGACGATTACTGCTATCTGCAGTATCACAAATATTACACTCCAAATGCCAGAATACAACTGACTGGCTGACTCTACGTCTCGACTCGGCGATACCCACGGTATAACTGTTGCCGTACAACTCTGAACTGTGAATAGCCCTCGCTGCGCCTCATGTAGCCTCGATCGGACAATACGGGAAAACGGCCACGTAATAGGCACTCTTGTTGCCTGGCGCTGTGTTGCTATGTAACGCTAGCGGAGGTAACCGCTGTTACTATCGTAACGTCGCCGCTGTTGACTCGTGTTGCCTAGCGACCGCGATATCCCTCGGTGACGTCACATCGGAGGGGTGTGGTGGGGCGGGAACTCGCCTATTATCGTAAGAACGCGAGCGTTACGTTACCGCCACGTACCGCTGGGGAGGTAGGGGTGATCCATGGCTCAACACGTCACAATATATTGCGTGCTACTACTGCACATTGTCATCATTTGAGAATGAATGCCCGCATTTCACTCACACTACTTTCATATTACGGCATCTATGCCCTTTTCCCTTTGTGTGTAGCTCTCCCTAGTCTGAATGTGAACCAAAGTACAGATAGGTTTGGGAAGACTTCCACAACAATAGAAGGATTCTGAAGAGATTTATCTTCTGGAATAAAATTCTGTGTAATCCATTGAAAATCAACTGAGTAGATTCTGCTACCTACTACACACTGGTTTCTTGCTTCGCTTACTTTTTGACCCGGAAGATGGAGGCTACATTTTCCTCCAAAATATTAATCGGCTCTCAAGAAACTGCACAGTTTTATATCCTGGAAGATAGAACTGTTCATGATCATTGCTGTGAGAACCTCAAATCCTACACAATAGAAGGATTCTGTTTTTTAATATCTGTAACATGCTGGAAAGGGTGAGGTGATTTGAATGGAAACAGAGTAAAGACTGTATAAAATATACTTGCAGTGTCTTAATGACATTTTGTGATACTTAATAACATTTTAAAATATTAAAGTTACACTTTTAGTGAAAAATATATTTAGGTGTCTTATATTTAAAAATCATTGTTCCATTATTGATGGTATAATATGATGATAATAAGAAGAGTAAAGACTGGATTATGTGGTGGGGTAAGCTGGAAGATGCTGGCATGAAATGGGTATCTTACATGGGAGTAAAAGAGTGGAGTAATGCTCAAGATGGAAGGCTGTATATATTTAAGGGTGGAACTGATAATGTACTCAAGAAAAGGGACATTGTACTGGAACTGTAGAGTTTGGAGTTATGAAGGTTAAGTAACTTTCTTATGGTAGGACCCAGAAATTCAAACCACGGTACGTAAGCCGTTATACATGATCATGAACCAGTCCCATCAAGTTTATGCCATCACAACCTCTTTCATTAAGATCTAGAGTGATATTGTCCTTCCATCTCTACTTATATCTTTCAAGAGGCTGCTTTCCATACCAGAATTTTGTGTGCATTTATTTCTGCATTTAAGTTACATGTTCACTCTGTCTTAACCTCTTTGACCTCAATATGCTAGCAATCATAGGTGAGATATTCTTATCACTAAGCTCTCATTAAGGGTATTTGAATGAGTTTTAAGTAATTATTTCCAGATTTCTGAAATATTATTAAAGGGAATGCAGATTTAGGACCTGGAGGCCACAGAGCATACCATTGATGCAAGGAAAGGTAACGTAATATTTCTGTATGTGCAGACAGCAAACAAAGTGTCGGACTGTCCTTCACAGACGCAGCTGTTGGCTCTGAATCACCATGTAGAGTGGGCCACTCTTGGTTTCACAAGAGCCATTGCAGCTTCCACTGCAATGTGTCGGGCCCTCAGTACCCCAGCATGGGTGCATCTACTGCTTTCCATGGTTGGGGGCCAAGATAACAGCATTGTCATCACATTGCCAAAACAGGTATGTTGTTTACATGGCCCTTTGAAGCCTGAATTTCATCTAAATAGTCTTTAAAGAATGAGTTGCTGCTGTACAGAACACTCAACTGCATCCCCATTTACAGTGACAGAGCAGTTAATGTGCTCTTGAGGGGAAAAAATTGCTGCTAGAATTTTACCAGCATTTCAGAGGAATATGTTTCCTCTGTCTTCAGGGTCAGAAAGTGAGCCAGGCAAGTAGCAAACAACAGTTTTCTGGTTGCTGTTGCTTATAACTTCTGCTGAAGCTCAGGGCTTTGCATCCCTGAAGATAGTAGTAGTCTTACAAATTACAGGTTTATTATGACAATGCTTCATATTAGATTCTTTTTTCTGCAGTAGTGAAAGTAAAATTACAGTAATTCACAAAACATTTTCTTATATAAGATCTTAGTTCAGTAAATTGTATTAGAGTCCTCCTTGTTGCTTTAGTATGGTAACTAACATTTCTTCTTGCCATGTTCCAGATACTATCACTACGCTTGTTGAAAGCAGTGCTTCCAGCATGGGACATTAACCCCACTGAGAGGTTGTCTCTTTTAGAGAAGTTGTTCCATCTTTTGGGTTATACTGCTCTCCTCTGCCCAGCTGACCCTCCTCCTCAGCCAGCAGGTACCATCTGCTCTGTCTGATTTAACTGAACATAAGGCAAGGTAAAGGTAAAGGTGTCTGTGTGCTTGATTAAGCATCACACCATGAGGATATATGGGGGAGTGAAGGTATAGATCCACACATTCTTAACTCCAGCATTGGATGGAGGTGCCTTGGCTGCCCTGAGGAAAGAGCCTCTGATACCCATTGGATATGAGGCTGGGTGGGCCCTGGAACTGGTCTGGGTCCCCTAGAGCAGTGTTTCTCAACCACTGGGCCATGGCCCAGTACCAGGCCCTGACATCAATTATATTGGGCCCTAGTCTTATAGAAAAAAGAATTTACCAGGCTGCAGTCTGACAAAGATTGAGAACCACTGCTCTAGAAGGAAGAAGAATCCTGTGCCTCAGCCAGGACTGAATGCCAGTTCCTCACTTATCCAGTCCATAGTCTATCACTATACTGACTGAGCTATTCCAGCTTTCAATGTAATGCACTCTAAATTTTATACTATGGGATTTTTTCGTGTCCCATAAATTGCTGAATCTCTCTTGTGAAAGAATGAGACACTCCTTGCAGTAAGTTAAGCCTGCAGAGGTTTGAATTACTAACAGAATTGACAAACCCCCAGCCTAATCACATTACCCAGATTACAGATGATGAAAATGTTCTTTCTTGTTCCCTACCTGTTTCTGGTGCCTTCTTGGAAAGTTGACATTCTTTCATTGAAATTTCTTAAGATATTTTCCTTCATTTTTAATTGTGTGACAGTTTGGTCTTTAAATACTCTTTATGGTTCCCATAAAAACTACATAGGTTGAGATCAGGAGAGCATGCAGACCACAAACCTTTACTAATAATTCTGCTAAAAAGCACTTCCCACAAAGTGTCCTTGCCGTATGAACGTTGGTGGAATCTTACTGGAAGATTGTGCACTGAGGCAAGAGAAAGAGTTAACTTTTCTCATCTCAGAATCCTAGTAATCAGAAGTGTGGGACATAAAATTAATTAATTTAATTATTTATTGTCTTATTGTTTATTTGATGACACTGTCAGTAGCTCAGATTATGTAGTCCCAAGTGATAGGATGATTAGCAAGTACTGAATTGGTAAAGATGCAGAAAGAAGTGGTTGTGGCCTAATCGGAGATACAATCTCAACGTATGCCTTGAAGGACTGAGGAAAACCATGAAGTACCTCAGTCAGGACAGTCAATGTTCAATTCAATTTTAATTTATTCTGTTGATCCATACAGGTACAACCATTGGATACAGATAAGTCAAAAATACAAGACAGTGTAATATTAATAAATTATAATAAATAAATAAATAAGACTTGCAATCATTAAAAGATTTTGTCAAAAAATAAAAATAATAATAAAACACTGTAAATACTGATACAATGATGTTGCTGTTACCATCAGAAATATATTTAGTTTTATGCATAAAAAATTCATAGAACAGAACACTGTAAATACTGACACAATGATGTTACTATTACAATCAGAAATACTTATGTAGTTTCATGCATAACAGATTCACCCACAGTATAAAAAGAATGCTCATGCAAATACTTTTTAATGCTTTTTTTAAAAAAAGCATTAAAAACTGAACACCTCTCAAGTACAAGTCAGAGGCATTATGAGAGCTAACTTGCTCCGTAAGAAAATTGATTAAATAATCAGATACAATATCTGCTCTGTCTATTTTGGAGACTAATTACATGGTTAATTATTTTTTTTCTGTTCTTTCCAGCATTTGGCCGATGCTTGAAGTCTGGTGCAGTTCGAGTATGTTTGACAGCTTCACACTCTAGCACTGTTGCAGAGGAATGCATTGCCTTGCTTCGGTCGCTGCACGGTTTGCCAGGCTGGAACCAGGCCCTCAACCATATTCTGGCAAACAAATTAGCTGTTGCAGGGGACTTGCTTACAGAAGGTCCATTTTTTCGTATTCATCAGGTGAGACATTGAACGAACCAAAAGTTTGTGATATGCTGTGCAGAAACTTGAAGCAGACTGCTTTCACCGGTTCTCACAGTCTCTTCGCTTGCAGAGTTCTTATATTTTTCCTTCTACCCTGAAGATGGAGGCGATACGTTGCTCCAAAACGTTGGTTAACACCACATATACACGGTGCCAAATCCAAGAGGACTGCTTTCTTCATAGTCACCACCATGAAAGCCTAAAATCTTACATTGAAAATGGAACATTGCATCAAGGTGGTACCTGCTCTTATGTGAGGTCCACAATTTTACTTACTCTCAGGCATAAGCATAGCTGCAACAGATGTGGGGACAGAAATTGTTAAAACAAAGGGGTGGAAACATACCTTATTAAATACATTGCAAATTTCATGAATGATGAATTCGTGAATGTGGATAATGTCATCATCATCAGTAATCTGTCAAGACGACAGGTCCACAGTCTCTTCCAAAACAATCCCTCCATTTAATGCAATCTAGAGCTTTCTCCTTCAAATGACAGTATCCTCTTCTGTCCCCAAGGTCATCCAGCATCTTCTTACGTCTTCTTCCTCGTCTTCTTGTCACTTCTATCCGCCCATCTATCTTTCCTTCGATAGCTTCTTTTAGAAGGCAGTTTCTGCGTAAAACATGACCAATCCAATTAGCCTTCCGTTTTCTTATTTCGTGTAGGATATTCCTCTGCTCACTGACTCTAATTAACACTTCTTCATTTCTCACATAATCGGTCCAGATGTTTCTGATCTACTGTCTCCAACACCACATTTCGAAACTTTCCAGAT